CTACCCTGCTGTTCCTTGATCATACGAGTGGCCCTCCTCTGGACCCTCTCCATGCTGTCCACATCCCTCTCAAAGTGTGGCGCCCAGAACTGGACTCAGTACTCCAGCTGTGGCCTGACCAGTGCCGCACAGATGGGGAGGATCACCTCCTTGGACCTGCTTGAGATGCATCTGTGGATGCACGACAGGGTGCAGTTGGCCTTCCTAGCTGCCTCCCCACATTGCCGACTCATGTTCATCTTGGAGTCAATAATGACTCCAAGTTGGGATGTTCGTTAACATCCCAAACTTGTTGAGGAATAGCAAGATTGCTTCCAGTCAACTTACTGCATTACACTAACTGATAACTGTCCCTGATGCAGACAGCAGACTTGCTTTGGGGAGCAGACAAACTGATGAAGTGACCTTATGACCGGTAATGTAAAATGAGATGAAAACAAAGACCTGTAGTGTGCTATCACAGAGAATTCACCAACATTATTTTCTTGTCATTTGATCTGAATTACTACTTCCAACTGCAATACAAAAAGCAAAGAGAAAAAAAATGAAAAGAAAAAACAGGGAATCACATTATGATGTTTCTTGTCTCAACAGGAAAATAGTAGCACCTCACAAAATGGAGGCATTAAATCTGTACTCTAAACTAATATTCACTGGAAATAGGAGGCTGGCTAATGTAAAAGCAGCAACACATAACTGCATCTAAACTTTTTAAAAACAAGTTTAAAAGCAAAGTTCAAGTTAAGAATATATTAATTATAATAATAATATAATGATAATAATTATATATAATAATAAAATTATACCCAAACAAAAAGGGGAGGAAATGATGAGAAGCTAATGTCAGGTAATAACAAATAAGCAGCTCAAAGTTTGTGCACCATCACTTCAAAACTGAAAATATGTAACCTCATTAAATACTACAAACTACCTTTTTTATTTGAGGACAAGAAAATTAAAATATTATTTTACCTTGCTAACGTGCTGATCATTGAAGCTGTACCACTGATCATCACTAAAGGACTTTATACAGGCATAGTAATGGCCACCAGCAGCACTTCCCGAATGGACCATAACAGAAAAGAGTTCATACAATAAAGAATTCTGGAAAAAAAAAAAATCAACAACAAAAATGGAGTTTGCAATATCATTCTAAGAAACTACTCAGAAAATTGTTTTAAGAACTATACAAACAGTTTTTTCTGCATAATAGTGTAAGGTTAACACTGTGCTGGTTACCAGCACACACCGTTAAAGAGATGGCTTTGATGATATTGCAAGATCTAGTCTTGGACAGATGCTTGGTTCAACCATCCCCCATCCTCTTACCAATCTGTCTTTGCCAATTGCAACCTCTCTCTCCAAAACCCCACTGCTAAGACAATCTTTCTGATTTGCTGCTATGACTATACGAACCCACCTCTCTCTACATACTTTTTGGGCTCCTCCTTTACTGCATGAAATGCATGTTGCTTATCTTGCATTTAAGGTCTTTCACAGCTTTAAAACCCATGGTCTGTGAGCTCCAAGACATTACTGGGCTATCAAGAACAATACGAGATATGCCTTTGCTTACTGGTCATTAGTCTTTTGTCCTTTTCCCCCTCAAGTCCACTCTTGCTTCCTCTTACTATGGATAAGAAGTTTAATATAAAAACACATAGCTACTACAAACTCCTCCTTGAAGCTTAGCCTGTAACTTACTTCTGCTTTGCTTCATACAACACACTATGAAACAACTATATAACTGTGCTGTGACTGATGTTCATTATAATAAAACAGAATTATTTTACTTGTTGTTTTTGTTGACTTTTATCATGTTAATATGAATTCCATCAAGGTTCTGATCTGGGTGGATCATCTGAGTACTACCACAGTATATGTAATTATAGCTTAATAAAATAATTTATGCAGCCTTCATTACTATGCAGAATGTTTACGTGGTGTTATTTGCCATTAGTTTATCAACTTTTAAGTATTCATCACCATTCACCACTAGTTTACAAGCTGGTTGTGGGTGCAACCCAAGCAACAAACAACAGTTGCATTTTGGAATTAAGTCGCAGTCCATACAAGACTAGTTACCATGTATAATCCAGCATGTACATGCACAAAGTAAAGCAAGAAGGCATACAACTATGCCTTATACTCAGACTGTGCAAACTAGAAGGGAACCAGTGTCTTCCAGAGGGCATGGAACACCTGACTGACCTATTTTAGCCTATTTGACACAAGATCTCCATTCTCTCAAATGTATGTCATTTACACATGTACCAGGTGGGGGGGGGGGGGGGGGGGGGGGAGGGGAGGCATTAAGAAAAGCAGTAAGACTATACATTCTGAGACACTGATGCCAAAATACTTTACACACTCTTGGTCTCGCATCAAAAGCATTTCAAAAGAATGTTATGCGTTTACATGGTGGTGGTGCATCAGAATAATACCATCTCTGATCAATTTCTGGTTTCTCTCAATTTCCCAGTATTCTGCCAGCTGTGAGAATCTCTGTAGCTTTTCAAAATAATTCTTCACTAGCCCTCTGTGCTATAAGATACTTGCAAAATATAAACCTGCCACAGATTTGATAACCTACCTCAACAAGAATTCACTGGTTATAAGGAAGAACCATCTTTTACATGAATGCTTTTTGCCAGAACAAAGCAGCTGGAACCAAAAATCAACAACATCTGGGGAATTCTCTCATTCTAGAAGGATTGACAAGTCCTTTGGACTTCTTGCCATACTGTGGTTTTATGCATTTGAACTTTTAAAAGAGAATCAACCTTAAAAAAAACCCAACAACAACCACCCCCCCATTTGAGGAACATACTAAAATTGAACGTTCTTATTTATATACTCTAACATACCTTTTCACTGCCAACTTTTGAAATTCTTTCTGCACCGCTATTGGTTTCAAGGCAGATTCCTTCATCAACTCCATCATCATTTGAGAAATCATTGCTCATTTGATCACTGTGACAACTGCCTTCATTCTCTGCTCCACTATCAGTGCAACTCTCTGTTTGAGGAGACTTCTTAAAAATAAAACATAAATATTAATTTTATATAACCGGCTAAAAATTTGCATGCAGATATCATGAGATGACAATGAATTAACAAAACAACTACTCCGCATTCTTAGCATCTGTCATCTATAGAGCATTTTATAATCAAAGTAGTCTCAGATCTGTGAAGAACTGAATATTGTCCATGTTTTACACATGGCAAACATGAAGCAGAGCTAATTACAACTGTAACAAACTTTGCAATCCTCATGATCATAAAAAGTTAAGCTAAACTGATGTCTTAACATAGCCTAGAAGAAATGCAGTAGGGGTGTGTGAAGTGGACAGTATTCGATTCGGCCTGATTCGGGGGACAGTCATTCGATTCACTAATTTGGATCACTGTCCCAATTTGATTCGGCCGAATCTGAATCTGAAGATTCGATTCTGGTTCAGAGAATCAGCTACCTGGCCGTACACACAGCTTTATATGTTTTTTCTATGTACCTCAAGGTACCAGGGCTTGTGAACACTGAGATGGT